GGATCACATCCAGAATTCCCCATGTGTTTTTGTAATTCGAAATAAAACAAATAAACACAATTTTTATTCAGTAGACATGAACATCTGGAAGATGACATCAACATGACTTCAACTTTAATGTCAAAGCAATAGACTGAAATTTGAACAATTTGGGGTGGAAGTGCCAGAAACCTGAACATCATGGAATAAAATTGTGATGGATACAAAGTTTCTGCCACAGCTGAGGGAAGAAACAATGTTTTAGAGCTTTATTAAGGTAATTAGAAAAGCAACTTGGGCATAAATGTGTAATACCAAATATAAAACTGAAGAAGATACTGGGACTGTAGGAGGACTGGGGACAGGATTTCTAGTCTTGCCTTGCTCTCTTTTCCCCATTTATTCTTCTGTCCCTCATCATGGCACTTGAAAACACCTTTAGTGAAGCTCTTTAGAGATGGGTAAAGACTGCAAAGCATGGGTGCACTTGTCCTTCCCTCTGCCCATGTGGGAGAGGGAAGAATGGAGCAGCCACCCAGGAAGCTGCTACCACCAGACAGCAATCCTGTCCCAGCAGGGGGATGGAAATAACGATTAAGGTCACATTGGGACTGGAAATCCTGCTCAGGGAGGATGAAAAAGTCCCATCACCACCAAAATAAGCCTTCGCATCTTGGAAGGAAACTCCCAAGAAGCAAGTCCTGTCTCTCTCAAAAGAAGAGACAGGGAGAGAGGGAATGAAAAGACCAAAATATTTCCTCCTCATAACACTCAGCTCCCAGGCTTAATTATACAGGATCAACAATCCTAACCATAACTACTGGCAGGCTCTCTACATACAAGAGCCAACCTCAAAAATGTGGCTTTAGCACTCATACAATTTTTACAGACAAAAATCAGTTTAATTAGATAGCTTGTAATTTCTTTTGAAAGCAAAAATGAAAATATCTGTATACTCTTAAAACTAGTCAAACCACTCTCCTTTTTTATTTAAACATCACTATTAGCTTGTCCCAGTTTGAAGTTTCCCACTCACAGTTGTAACACTAATTAAACCTTTTGGGGAAGTTGTGTGCTCGCTCTTATGCATTGCTATTAATATTTTTTATTGCAGTTAGCTGGGATCCAACACCATTCCAGTCAGAAGGATTTTATTTGGATTTTGTCTGGCTTATTTTATTCTTAGCAGATGGTGCAAACCCATGTGTTGATGAGTACATGCCACAGGAGAGCATCTGATACGATACAGCCAGCCCTAAACAACAGTGATGTCTATGCTGAGGACTTCATTGCCTGCCACCATGTAGGACCACACTTCTTGGCACAGTGTGTTAGCTCAGATGGGCTTTCAAAACTATACTACTGGTACCTAAGATGGGTTTGAGAAGGTATCTTAGGCATCTATATACAGTAGCGTGAGCATCCTCAAAGTTGGTTTTTTCAAACTAATTTTTACTGTGCTACACATGTAACCCAAGTGGACCAAAGGTGACACAGTTTTATAAACAGAAATGAATGTATTTTTGCATGTGCAAATCAATGAATAATTTTCATGAAATATCATTCAGTAGCCATGTAGGTAACAACTTTCCCAAAGCATCTTCTCCTTGCATTGTCAGCGAGACTCTTGGTAGCCTACCTGTCTCTGACTTTGTTTGAAATACATCCCCTGATAAACTAAAGAGAAGTACATATAAAGAGCTTAGCGCTATTTATAGCAAAGTCTGTGTGACTGAAAACATAGCAGTTTTCTTGTGGTGGGTACATGTATTGCTTACGCACTGCAACTGGAAAACTGTTGCCTCCCTCTTTAGCAATTCTAGTCAGCATTCCCAAGGCAAGAGAGAGAGCCAAGGAAGGAAACAGACATAAGGACAAAACACAAACAAACTGAAAATTTACCAGTGACTTATATTCAAAAACTGGAGGGGGGAGTGTACAAGAAAAATTCATCTCAATCTGCATTTCAAACTGCTGGAAATGGGCATACAAAGTGGATTAGGAGGATCACACCAGTATTCTTCAGGTAGGGGTTTTGTGAAAGCCTCTGAGAACAGGCATAATCGTTCATAATTACTGGATACACTGTTGTCACATTAAATAACAGCTTTTCCTCAAAACATTTAAAAGTCTACTGCCTGTCAATTCTTGCAACTGGGCATTGCGTGCAACTGGCAACAGATCCAGGAATACTGCAAGCAAAGCTCACTCCTGGATGCTGATCTGCAAATCCCACATGAACTAGTTTCATAGCTGTGCTTTATTTGAAGTGAAAATAAATGAGGTACAGCAAGAGCAGTGGCTTAAATCTTGTTCTTAATAGATTAAAATCCCCATTCATCTTATGCTTTCCTACAAACAAACAACTCTCAGGTCATTTTAAAGTCCTATTGGCCAGAAATGTGATAGAAAATGAATGAAGGCTCTGAAAGACTAAGATCCAACTCTCATTTCTGATACCCACAATTACATGGTTCAAGGTCTTTTAAATGACTCCAGAAGAAAAAACAGGGAATGGTGAAAGGCAAAGACAATGTCTTCAGCTTTGCCTCCATTCTGCCTTGGGTCCTAAATGCTGAAGGAGATTTTTAGAAGAGGAACCAGGTCAGGCACGGCTGTGTGAAGTTGGCAGGCAGGGAGTAAGGTATGTTTTGTAGTCATCAGCAATGAACTGAAAACCCAAGAGAAGATCAGCGTAGAGCAGAGTAAAAAGAGAAAAGAATCACCTTTTATTAGAAATCCCAAAGCTATTTATCACTCATGGGCAGTCACAGATACAGTATTTGTCCCCCCATGAGACCTACTAAGCCTAAAAATATTTTTAGTTAAAATCAGCTCCCTAAGTGCTCAGCCTTTCCTATCATTATTTTATGGACAACAAAATTCCACATTCATAGTTGTCCTGGGACAACGCATACAGTTAACATATTTTCAAGAACAGAAAGTGAGTTGACACCTGGACTCTGCACACACTCAGATATGAGCCATTCTCTGAAGTAACCAAGCCACAGTGAAAAAAGGACACTTTCCTTAATTTGAAACTTACTTAAGTAAAAGAACATAAGCTATAACAGCTGCTTCATCCTGTTCTGTATCATCCTCCCCCAAGAAAAAAACTAAGGGAAATGTGAAGGCTGCAGGTTGTGCAGCCAGTTCATGACAGGTCAGAAAAACATATTGCTTCATTTTTAAAAATGGGTATTTTAAAATCAATATACTTACACCAGCACATCTTTGAACCAGCTAGTGGGAGATACCAGTGGTAAGGAGATATAGAATTATCTGAAACTCAAGCCTGATTCACTCTGGCACTTCTCCTGCTCCATTACAACTTTTAAATCAAGTCAAGAATCTTGTGTAACAGGAAGTTTGTGTCCACTTATCTCCTTTCTCCACTGGTGTGAGTTTAGAACACTTAGCCCCTAATTTATAGGGTAATAGTAATAAACAAACACATAGAAAAACTGCCTTCTGAGGAGAAACAAAAGGGGGGGGCAGAGAGTCAACATCTTTTCTGGTTTCTAGACACTGGACAGACTTGTAAATTTGAGTTTGATCCAAAAAGAACCAGGCAAAATATTACTTGTGTTTCCATGCTGTTGGTTTGATATCATGAATACAACATAAATGCTTTTACCAGTTAATGTGGGAATACAAACAAGGAGGGACATTCATACTTACTGCTCTGTGTTACTGTATGCACAAAAACCCCCAGAAATCCCAGTAAACTTACTATTTCTCACTCCTCGAATGACTTTCCTCTCCTTGAGGTCATTGTGTGAGAAACAAACATTGGTGAAAGAGGAAACAAACAAAAAACCCCCACTAAACACTGACAAAAAGAGGAGATTAAAGGAATATTTTTTGTTTGCTACATATGTTTCCTGAAACATATCAAATTGGAGTCTCAGCACACTGAGGACAGAATAGCAAAGCTGCCATGAAGCTGGTAGGTGGAAAGGCAACATGACTCACACCAAACTCTCCCTTCTGTGGAGATCCATACCAGAAATCTCTGTTAAAAGAAGGGTTTAGGAAAAATAGGTATAAATCAGCTGAAGTACTTTGTGTCATTGCCTGCATGCAACGCTAATGCAAAGCACTGGATTCTGAAATTTGCAGCCAAGTTAGAACATTGATGGGGAGCTTCTAATTTACCTGAATGCATTGTCAAGCTCATTATGACGTTTAGCTTCCAGTATTAACTATTTTATCGGTGGCTGTTAGTGAACTCTTCTAAGACGGATGCATCAAGCCATGCAATGCCACTGCCGGAAGGTTGCAACTCCTCGGTAGGAGATGTCCTGTGTACTTGTAATTTACACAGGAAGCTTAACCGTGAGCCGCATAAAACCAGATGCTAAAAAGAACAGTACCTGCGCCCTAATTGCAACAAACTGCACTATCACAAAAGGGCTCGTAAAATCCCCTCGAGATTCCTACGGAACTTTGTCCCGGCACGAGTATGGGCATTTCCCATTTTCAGCGAGGCAGTGGGAGAGCAGAGCTGCCTACAGGCAGTCTCAGCTGTGGGACAGGGGCTCCCGGCCCCGGCCCTTGTCGGAGCAGACGCGGTACTGACGGTGTCCGAGCGTCTCCCGCCGCACCCCGGGGCTCCCGCCAGGGCTGACGAGGCGCGGTCAAAGACGGGCGCCCAGGTGGCCGCTCCCTGCCTCCTGCGCGCAACTTGCTGGGGACTTTCTCGCCTCTTACTTGACTTATTAAAAAGCAAAACAAAACAAAATCCTAATTTACAAAGATCAAGAAAGACGTAGCATACATTTACCATAAGGCCGGTTACCACTTTAATCTCGCAGCTACTCAGACACGGGGATAAACCCGGCGAGGATTAACGAGGTCAACTATATACAGCCCTGAGAGCAGCTCAGGCTACGCTCACGCCGAGCAGCGAGGCGAGGGCGGTCGGGATCCCCCTCAGCAGCCACCGCTCGCCCCCGGCGCAGGGAGCCCCTCGGGGGCCGCGCACGCCGCCGATCTCCCCCCCCCGGCCCCGGACTCACCCAGCGTCTCCGCCCGCAGCCAGAGCGGGGCCGAGGCTCCGAGCAGCAGCGAGAGCAGCAGCGAGGGGGCGGCCCGCGCCCCCCCGGCGGGGCTCATGGCTCCGGCTCTCGGCGGGCCGGGCAAGGCACAACTTCCCCACTTCCCTCCTGCTCCTTTCTCTTCCTCTCCTCTTCCTCCTCCTCGTCGTTGGGGCGGCTCCGGGGCCAACCCGCGCTCCCGCGGAGGGGGGCGGTCAACTCCCGGCATCCTTCCCCCCCGCAGGTGTTCCTGCGGAGGCGGAGAAGGGGCCGTGCGGGGCTGCCTCTGGCCCCGTGCCCCGCCGGTGGCCGGGCTGCAGCGCTGCTGCCTCCTGCCTCCCTCCTCCCCGGCCTGGGGCTGGGGGTGGAGAGAGGAAACGGGAGAAGGGGAAGCGCCACTATTCCCATTGGGCTGCCGCGCGGGGTATCTCCTCCTCCTGCCGTGGACCGAGGGGCCGGCGCGTCCCCGCCGCCCCCTCCCCTCCCCGAGTGCTGTTTCTCCAGCCCACCGGCGCTCTGGGGTGCTGCACCGGGATCGTGGGGCTCCCCACGGTTGGGAGGCTCCCCCAAAACCATGCAGCCCCCAGCGTCGCCTGCGAAATCCCGAAGCTGGCAGGCTTTGTGCATGCCCACGTATATACACGCACAGTCGTATATACATGTATGTTTATAAGGAAGCAGGATTATTTTGCCGTTCGCAGGCTAATTCCTGCGGGAGTCGCTCCCGCTGCCATAGCGGGAAGGGTCACCGGGGTATCTACGCAGTGGGGGGACACGAGTGGGGCCGGTGGGCAGCGGAGCCGAACGGGGCAAGGGGGAGCGTCCGACCCCTTCAGCACAGCCGGTGTCGTGATTGGGCTTCTCACTCCTGTAACCTGCTCCTGGGAGGGCATCTCCATGCAGGGCTGCAAACGCAAGGTTAACCTATGCGAACTTTTGTGCATTACTATTATGGGCTGAATTAAATACAACCTTTGTAACGATGCTGTGTGCATCTTTCTGCCTCGGTGGGATGACCTTGGCTCTGGAGAAGACCTGTGGCACAGGGAGGGACGCAGGTGCATGGTAGGGAAGCAATGCCAGTGACCACAGGAGACCCCCATATTAAGCAAGCCCCAGCGGTTGGCCTTTTAAAAGTATTCTGGAGTATTGAAGGTAGCCTGTCTGACTCTATACAGGCTTTTCAGGGGTGAGTTGCTGTGAGGCAGGTGAATTCACACTGCTGGCAGGTCAGAAACACTGTACTGCTATGGTAAAATGAGGTACAGAATTAACTTGTATGTCATAGAGATAAAATTATTAGGTTATGTTAGAAAAAAGTGAAGTTTAGTAAACCTTTATTTTAATTGAGTTCTTGTTTTATAAGTGTTAATGTCTGTTTTTTAACTTTTCAGACACCATATGTGATCAGGCATATTTTTTACCACGTACTCAGTACATTATATTCTTGGTATATGTATTTAACACACGTTGTTAGTATTTGAGACTTACCCGTCTTTACAAAGGAGAGTTTGAAATCTAGACTAAAATGGTCTAAGATGTAAGGCAGAAAGAATGTTTGTTAATGCAGCAGTTTGGTGGTCAGACTAAACCTTGCTGGATTTTGCCAACAAATGGCAGCATCCTTCTGGTTGAAGGAGGTTGGGATGGGCTACTTGCTTCAAGACTCTGAAGGCTGAGAGGCTTTTAAACAGGAGTGTGTCCATGTGAATAAAACTGGCCTGTACTTGTACTTGTCTCACAGATTGTCAGGAACAAATCCATACAAATGAAGGTGATTATGAAGAGGAAGGGACCAAAAAGTAAAATTCTGCAACATCCTCAAGATTGGATTTGAAAACCTGACAGAATTGGTGAAAATATTGTAGTCATAGAAAATAGTTTTTCCAATACCAAATACTGGTTCAGAATGTACAAATGAGACCCAACATAAATGAAAACACGAGGGAGATAAACGAACAGGACAATATATATGTTGCAAAACATATATCATCCTTGAAAGAGCTGCAGTTATTTAAAAGCAATATAACAACACAAGAGGGTGCATTGTTTTGTGTCAGTCTGAGCAGGCAATCAAAACCAGTCAGTCACACACAGGTTGGTACTGGGAATTGTACTGGTTTGTATTCCATCAACTGAGATCTAAAATATGTTCTCTAAAAACAGAGCCAGTTTCTAGTTGTATTTGTTAAGGGTTATCGTAAATATTGAGAGAACAGTCCTGTGGGTCGATCCCAAGTAATCTTGGCCAAGCAGTGATGCAATAAACTGGTTTTGGTGAGCTTGAGCAATTTAATATGCAAAACATTAAATTTACCATGGCGCTTGCAGATAATGTCGCTAATGTTGAGCTCTCCACAGAACTTGAGTGGCTGGTAATTGTTAGAGGCAAGTTAGCAGCTTTGGAAATCCAAAATGGTTTCTGCCTGTCACACATGTTTAGGAGGCTCAGAGTGAGGAAGAAGCTTTCTCCTTCTCTTGGGTGTTGGAGGGTTGTCAGTGCCCTCTGGAACAGATACATAGAGAATAATTTCATTCACAGTTATTTTTATTTCAATGATTTGTAGTAAAATGGTAAGTCATGCCCTTGAGACTGTAGATGTGAAATGTCTGGGAGTGGTATTTGGTTTTTGTTCATGGTTGGTACAGGAGAGCATTGGTCGAAGGAAGGGCATGCAGGTTGCCTTTTCAAACTTCTCACCACCCAGGGCTCATCCGGAGCTGGTTGCTTTCCCAAGGCTACATGTTTCCTACTGCAAATGTATATAATGCTCCCGTGGAAACTCTGTACCTCTTGCAGGTGTTGGAAGCATAGCTTTTGTATTGACTTCAGTAGGATAATAATAACAATGTAATCAGTGCAGTAGCTTCTGTATTATTTATTTTGCTATTAAATTCACATTACCATACCATCTCCCTGTCAGTTTTCAATATGCTGTAGGCAAAGAACTTACTGTCATCTTCCAAGATTAAATAATCATTAAGACGAATGAAGTAGTCTATAGCTCTCAAAGCTCTTATTCAAGGACTTGTGTAACCCGTCACATTGCTACATTGGTTCATATGTACTTCTGCCAATTTCCTTTTGTAAGGAGGACAGTTAAAATGAGCTTTTAAATAAGTACAGTTTTAAAGGCAAGGACTTCGAGTTAAGGCAAAAGATTAGTTCAGAAAGAAGGCATACGTGGAACCTGACTAATTTAAGTTTTCACACAATAGGAGCTTCACAATATAAAAGTTCTTTGGCAGACCACTTCTGACAGCTTAATGAAGCTTATTTTGGTCACTAAAACTGACTTAATTTGGAAGAGCCATAATTCACCCAAGGACATGGATGGGCTACTTTTTAGCATGAGCATGTGCCCTTCCTTTACAGGTAGTTTTCCAAGCATACGATTTAGGAGTATTTTTGTGTGTTTGATGAAATTGGTATTAACTGAGTCACCTACAACTAGGTAATCTCGTATTCATTATATGGACACTTTTACTGTGCAGCCACCCGCAAATGAGAAATTCAGTTTTTACTTCACAGATCTCTGGCCTCAGGGTGAAGAGCAAGAGAGGATTTCAGGACAAAATCAGCTCAGAACACTTTAGAAGGTGGTTGGTCAGTATGGCGGGGACATACGCAGGTTTCATTTATAGACTTATACAGTTTCTAGCTTCGCAGATTTACCTTCTTAACCTATACTTTTTATATACTCTTGCATACTTGTATGTAACATGCTTTGAAAAGCTGCTTCTAAACAGACCTAAATAATCCAATGAGTCCTTGAGTGCCTTGTGTGATATTAAACTGGTAGTTTGTCTGGGGCAAGGGGCAGGGGAGAAAGAAAAAACACACTGAAAAGTTCACCTAAGCTTATCTTGCAAACATGACACTGTGTACATTCTTCCTTTCAAAACCGTCTTGTTCTGTACATGTTCTGGGAAAAAAAAATAGAAGCCAAAAACATAATATATACAAAGACATTCAAGTTTAATCTTCTTGGAGCAGCCTTGCTTTTGTGTGGCTAACAGGAAAGTTCCTAAGTGGAAAGCGTTTTCTTTGCTGACTTTATAAAAGAAAGGGGAGGAATGGAAAGCACAATGAGATGGAAAGGACCCGAGGTTACAAATTGCAAAGCACAAGAGCAATTCTAGACATTGAGAGGTATGCTAATCTGTTCATTAGCAGAAGGATAGCTTGCAGATTGAGAGGCCTTATAGCAGTCTTTATACATGGGCCAGGTTTTGCATTTTCATTGGGGCAAAACAAATGGTATAATGAATTTACAGGATAAAGCTGAGATCAAAGTGCTCTGGTTGCTGATCTCTGTGTATTCAGATACTGTGTTCTGCCAGAAGTGTATGTGGTGGCTGTATAAAAAAGCCATAAAATAAAATAAAACATATGAAGTAGTAGCCTGAGATGTGTCTAGAGTCAACATTTGTATATCATATGCAAGGAGCCCTCTCTGTTAAAAATGGTTAGGCTACAGCAAAGTCAGAGCTGCTGCTAGGCTGTGGCATGACTTAGAAAGTTTAGCAAGTTCCTTGAGACACACATGAATTATTCTGTATATTTAGAGTATTTAATGGACACAGTGCACTGTGTTTTTTTCATAGTAAGGCTAATGCCATCCCTATGAAGCAGCAAGAACATTTCAATCTGTATAACATCACCCTCTATTAAGGTCTGCATACCATTAAACCAGCAGGAGATGGACTGACCTCCAGGACTCCTCTGGGCTTCTGGATGTTTATCTAACTACTATTGCAGAAAAGGTCTTACCTGTTTGTAGTAAACTGTGGGATTGAGTTCTCCTTCTCAGAGCCAGCCTTGGTTCTGGTGACGTTCATGTTAGCAACTTCCATCCTTGCTTAATGTAAGCATCCCTCTCCAGGTGTGAAAATGCACAGCAGTGACGGAGTTAGTAAAATAACTTTTCCACTTTTTAAGTGGTTCTGAGCAAGTAGCTAAGAGGACATCCTGACCCAGTGCTTCATTAGTACTTTAAGGCAAACATGAGGTAAGAATCAGACAGAAAAAAAAATACTGATAGAAGAAACAGTTTAACTTGCACTAGCATAGGTCACTGCCCACACCCATATGGATGAGTTAGAACCATAGAGTGGCATCATGCAATTACACTGGTAACAGAAATCCCCAGGGGGTAGAGACCATAAGTATTCTTAGACCTTAAGAATACGGAAGAAGAAATTACAGGCAATAAATACCAGGAGAGAAAACTAAAATGCAGTAGGCTTGAAGACTTGGTCTTTTCAGGAGATGAGAACTATAGACCTTGTCTGGGTGGGAGTGATAGC